GTTTTAAAATGAATTCTAGAGGAAGAATTACATGTTCACATAGGTAGAATGAATAGGTTGTTGCTTTCAGAGAAGAGGGTTTTCTCCAATTCTTTGGGTAAAGGACAGGAACAGTGAGGGGATCCTCAGTGTAGAGCTGTGGGATCAAGCACACTGGATGTAGCGGAGGGGGGCTGAGATGGGTCTTTAATTTTTACTTTTGCAGTGAATTAAGGCTAAGAAATTAGGCATGTTTTTCTGTTGCTGACATCAGATTAAAAGTGTTGCTGCGGTTATAGATGCTCACGAATGGTGTTCTTTAAACTTGATTGGCTTAGGGTTTTCTGGCCTAAACTCAGATTGAGAGCTGTTGGCTCCTTGATCTGGGCCTTTTGGTGTGTTGTTGAAGTCTCGTTTCACAGAGTTGGATTATTGAAGCCCTGCAGGCCCTGCCCTGGGGACCATTTGGGAAACTCCTCTGGTACCCATCTAACCTCCAGGTGAAGTTGGTACTGTGCCTCGTATCATTATTTCTAAAGGAATAAGGAGAACGGACTCTTTTCAGCCACACCAGTAATGCTGGGCTGTTTTTAACTTCATCTTGTTTGTAAAACCACTTGAACAAGGGATGGGACTCGAGTCTTACAGGCAGATACTTGCTCCTGTGGGAGAGGAGTGGGGGAGGGAAGGGCTGGGGCCACACTTTCTGGAACTTGCATCTTGGGCTTCAGTACTTTGAGCCTGATCCTGGGCAGTTGGAGTAACATAAGGATTCAGGGAATTTTTGGTGTTCCGGGTAGTTTGTGACCCCGAGATCAGACACGCGGGGTGGTGGAGAGCCCGTGGGCCGTGAGAGCCCGCGTCGGTACTGGAAGTGTGAGAACGAAGCCTTCGCTCTGAGGGCAGTTGCAGGACTGACCCCCACCCACAGCTCTGGCCGTCCCCCCTCCCAGACGTGTTTTTCCACCTCGGCTCTGGGGACGACGACTTCACCACGTCCCTGGTGACCTGCCCCCCACACGTGGGGCCTTCTGTGCTCCTGCGGTAACCCCTAGGCAGCCGGCCGCGGCCCTTCACCGCTTCCCAGCCTGACCTCCTGCCTCCACGGTTCTTCTCCTTCAGTACTCGGCTTTCTCCCGTACATGTGAGGTCCTGAGACTCACTTCTTTTTGTTTTTGTTATTGTTTCTAATCTATAGCAGGGTTTCCATTACTGCTTTGAGCCGGTTCCGTTCCTGGGGCTCAGGATGGTCAAGGTTGCATCCCCGTCCCTCCCCGTTGTAATAGACCATGTTGGAGTCAGAAGATGCGCGGCCGCTGTGATTCCATTCTGACTTACGCTTTAAAGGGGGAGGGTAGACACATGTCCGTATTTGTGTTCTTCCTCGTACTGTGGGAAAAAGCTTAACTGGGGCGGCGTCCTTGTCATTTGCTTTCTGAGAGGTGATGCAGGATTTGGGAAGTGGCTTTCCCTTGAGCCTGCCGTCCGTGGCCGTGGAACAGGAAGCCCTTGGGAGGCATCCGGGAGCCCCTAGAAGGTGTGACGTGTGCATAGGAACTGACAGCTCTGAAGCACAGATGAGGGGAATGTGGTCTCGGACATGCTGGGGGCGAGGGGACCTGATGGGCTCCGTTGACACAGGTGCCTCTAAACCTGAGGGCCGCCCCTTCTTCTCTCATCCCAGCATCCCGTTAGCGCTCGGGGTTCGGAATCAGTTGAACCTCCTCGTCAAGCGGCCACGTGGGTCGTGGACTTGACGCGGTGTCAGGGACGCGAGTGGGACGATCGCGGAGGCGTGCGTGGCCGGATGAGAGTGGGGGCGCGGGAGCTGGGGACCGAGGTGCCCCATCCCGTCCCAGGGAGCCAGGAGGAGCTTCGGAGGTCATGGCGAGCTCTTGAAGGATCTTGTGTTAGGAAGTTACGTGGTCACAGGAATTTGTAGATAATTTGACAACTTCGGAGAAGGATGGCTTTGCAGAAGAGCGAGTGGTTAAGAGGTTACGGAGGTGTTCGGTCGAAACCATGCCCGGAAATACACCTACAGCTGTGTGTAAAAGCGAAAGTCCTCCCTGCCTTCCCGCTCCCTGGAGATCATCACCGGGAGCGGCGTGTGTGGTTTATAAGGCGTCACGTTGAACTCCCCCTAAGCTTTGAAGGAAAGCCGTAGGTGTTCGTCACCCTGTCTGGTTTGGCACCGGCCCTGGCGACGGATTAGATGTAAGTCGTCCGTTGGAAGCCCAGTGGTAACTTGGTTTAGGGGCCTGGGATTTGCCTTTCACGTTGTTGACTTGGAAGGGGCTCACAGGAGGGCAGGCCTTCGTAGATTCCAGGTTTCTCACTTCCGTCGTTCTGCTCTTTCAGCCGCACATTGACTGCCGTGCACGACGCGATCCTGGAGGACTTGGTTTTCCCGAGCGAGATTGTGGGCAAGAGAATCCGTGTGAAACTGGACGGCAGCCGGCTCATAAAGGTTCATTTGGATAAAGCACAGCAGAACAACGTGGAACACAAGGTAATGGGGTGACCGCGTTGCGGGAGGGTCCGGACACAGGGAGGGCAAAGGGCATGGCCTGTGTCCGGTGTCACCAGAGCCAGTGAGCGTAAACCCAGGGCCAGCTTTGCTCCATCGGAACCTCTGCGCGCTTCCCTTTGGATTCCGTGTCGGGTTTTACAGTGGGGGATGTTTTGAAAGTCAAAACTCTCTACCTTTTAAGTTACTAGGAAAATTGGAAGTAAGGTAATTCCCCTCAGCAAGGCTGTGGATCCTTCTGGGGGTGAGATGTGGTGGTGTCAGAATCTGGGAGAACTGTCCCTTCCCTTCATTCCCGGGAAAGTGTGACTGAGGTGGACGGTCCCCGGGCTCCCTCACGGGCTCAGAGCACCTCAGTCGGGCACAGACCGTAGAGCCGTGTCCCTCAGCACCAGAGATGAGCTCGTCCCCAGCGTTGGCAGGCGGGCACGCCCCGTGTACGCCTTGTGCCCTGTGTGCCCGGTTGCTGAGGGGGGGGAAGCCATGCAGGGCCCAGTTTCACATAATCGTTAGGCTTTCAGATGAATGTGCATATTTAAGAGTTTTGTGACGAATTCTTTGTTTGCTCGTAGGTGGAAACCTTCTCGGGCGTCTATAAGAAGCTCACGGGCAAGGATGTTAACTTTGAGTTCCCGGAGTTTCAGTTGTAGACAAAATGATTAAATAAAACATTCACAGTATTCTGCTCTGGGCGTGGTTCTCAGAATTTCGGAGATGTGGATGCGTTACCGGTAGCTTCCTGCACAGGCTGGAAGATGCTGAACAGAGAGAGTGTCTGTGGGCTGTTCGGGGAAACGGGATGCAAGCGAGGGGTGTACCTGGAGTCGGTGATGTCGGAGGGGGCGGGACCACGTGAAATCGCCCCAAATGGCCAAGTATTGGCGCTTTGACAAGTTCATCCCAAAGATCCACGGGAACTGGAGCGCGGGTAGTCGGGGTGACGGTACATCCTAGTCCCGCCGAGGTGCTCTACTCGGGTACCGTGTCTCCTGGAAAGTCCACCTCCAAGTTGAACTTCAGGGGCCCCCCGGCAGGGGTGGGGTGGGCTCAGTCAGTGAAGTGTCTGACTCTTGATTTTGGTTCGGGTCGTGATCTCACGGTTGTGGGATCAAGCCCCACATTGGGCTCTGCACTGACAGTGTGGAGTCTGCTTGGGGTTTATTTTCTCTCCCTCTCTCTATCTCTCTCTCTCTCTCTCAAAAATAAACATTTAAAACCACATATACAAGTTTACCATTTCATCCTTTGTGAGGGTACAGTTCAGTGGTCTCAGGTGCATACACTGCTGTGAACGTGGGATCCTGTGAGAACTGAGACTGCCCGTTAAGCAGCCCCCTGCTCCCCTTCCTGCGGAATCCATTGTCGCGCACAGATTCGCTGTCCGTCTTCCGCGCGACGGTCCGGTGTCCCTATGATGAGAAGTTTTGGGGGGGGCAAAGCAGCAGGGGCCCCAGCTGTGCCAGCTCTCTCAGGTGGCTGGGGGAGGGGTAGGTGTCGAGTTCTGGGACGCACGATTGCTAAGCCTCAAAACTGCCTCTCAGAGCCGCCCCTCTTCACTGGGGGGAAGAAACATCCTTGGAGGCAGCCCCAAGTGGCCTTTTGCACCAAATTAGCCCTGCAAGGAGATTCGAACCCAGCTACACCGGGAGGCGAGCTGGTGGTAGTTCCCCATTTTGCAAGATGAGGGTCGGGCCCGTGAGGGTCGAGGCCATCCCAGACGGCTGTTTGGGCTGTTTTAGGGAGGGCTTGGGGTGCAGACGCCCTTGTGTTAGCCTTGGTGCTGTCCCAGCTCGGCGGCTCAAGCTTTGCTCGGTGGCTGGGTGAGGAAGGCCTCCCCGAGGGGCGGCAGTCGCCCAGAACTCGGCTCTTCTCGGGAGGACCCCATTTGCCGTTTCCTCTACCGTCCCCACCGTGGTAAGCTCAGTGGCTCCCAGTTTGGGGTAAAGTTTGGTTTTCTCAGGCCCCGGATGATGTGCCGCAAGCCCGCCTCGCCCTTCCCTCGCCCTTCCCTGGTGCGAAGCCATCTTGGTTTCCCGGGCTCTGCGTTTTTTTGTGCTGCTCTAGGGCCCCTGC